CAACCCAAATACCCATCCACATAACTCCTTTATTTCTTAAGGGTTTACCCTAAGAGCCAACTATCCTTCATTCATTCATAAGGATTTACCTAAGGAACTGACACAAAGTCCATTTTCTACCACGGTTTATACAACAGGCACTACATCACATAGTCACCAGGGTTCATACGATAGGCACTACGTCTCATAGTCATCAGGGTTTACTTAACGGGCACGAAGTCACATCGTCACCAAGGTTTATCAAATAGGCACGAAGTCGCATTGTCACAAAGACTTACTCAATAGGCATGAAGTCGCATCGTCACCAAGGCTTACTCAATAGGCACGAAGTCGCATCATCACCAACTATTTCATCTACCCATGTTCTACCCAACATTTTTGTAGATATAAATACAAACACAGTTTAAATCATTTAACACCCGTTATAAAAACATCAATTCATAGCCCATCTCAAATAGACAAATAATATATAACACATAGCACGTATTTCATAGCTAACACTTTATATTTATGTGTTAGAAGAAAGTAACTATACACTCACTTGATCAGAAGATGATCGGACAACACTACGTCTTGTAGAAGTAGTATTCGTCAGTAGATCTGGAAGATCTTCACAAAAATTGGCTTCTCGTGGGCAGAGCTTCGGCTCGGGAATTTCACTTTTTGGGATCTTCGGGGCTTCGTGACTTGCTTCGGGTCTCGGGAATGATACCGGGGCTTCGGGGTATTTCTTGCACGAAAAACGAGGTAAAACGGGAGAAAGAGGAGAGGAATTGAGCAAGGAACTCGGTTGCCCTCACACCCTTTATATAGGGGATGATTCTTTGAATTACGTTGGGTGTAAATCCAGGTACACTGGGCGTAACCCGGATAAGCCCGGTGACTCCCCCCTTTGGATAATATCCGAATTTATATTTAAATTAAATACTTTAATTGTTTAATAAACTTCAAAAATTCATATCTTCCCCATACGAGCTCTGTTTTCGACGTTCTTTATATCCCCGCGTAGGTGAGACTACGATCTACAACTTTCGTTTAGACTCCGTCGGCTAATTTTGAATTTATTTTTAGTAGGCCGAGATAAAAAAACTCTGTTATAAATCCATAACTTCTTCATCTGACGTTCGTTTTCGTCTGTCTTTTTACCGTTGCACTACTATCAACAAGATCTTCGATTCTTGTTTATATTGTTTCGGCTAAAAATCGTTCGATCTCAAATCGAGTATTCGGGTTGCATACCGCTAAGTCGAAACTTAGAAAAATCATAACTTCCTTATATGAAGTCAGATTTGGACATTCTTTTTATGCACGCTCATGGTTTAACAAACTCTATGACTTTTGTTTGGATCGCTAAGGCTAAATATCGCTCTAACGTAAAT